AGGAATGCTGGTGGTGGCTTGTTGTTCAGGCTGAGTCTGTCCATCTGTTTCCACCCCTTTATCTGAGGAGACATTTTTGTTTCAACCCTTTGGGATCTAACCGAGCCGCTGCTGCTGCTTCTCCTTCTTCTTTCTTCCCTGAGAATGAAACCTATCCAACCACTTCAGCTTTTTAAGCAGCTCAAAAGCAACCATTTGCTCACTGCTATTTAGCGGGTAGCAATTTGCAAGCACTGCAAAGTTTTAAATTAATAGCAAGAAGAATGGGAAATGAAATCATTTATTATTCCTGAAAGCCAATTTTACACACTTCTCTGGCCTTGAGACTGCCTTCTAATCTTATTATTTAAAAAAATAATGATCCTGTTTTAGCATTTGCTCCCCTTTTAATTTTTTTTTCTTCAGCCACCCTATCAGGCCTTAAATAGGTTGGTTTCATACTGATTTCCACACAAAAAAACCTCATTAGAATTATATGCTCCATCTGTTTTGCTCATTGAAGGCCTTATAAAAATGGTACTTTAAATAAATCAACGATAACTATGTGGAATAGTCTGCTAATGATTTTCTTTTCCTTTTCGTCTTCACAGTTAAAAAAAAATACCAAGGAGATAGCAGAGACGAATGGCCATAATGAACCTCAGGTACAACTTTTCTGTTTCCTTGTCGAGTGCTGATATTTACCTTTTGTGCTTTGGAATAAAAGGAAGAAGCCCCCTCCCTTCCTTTGGCGCCTGGGCCGTGGCGAGAGGGGATGACGGGTCTTGGTTGGTCTGTGGCGGGCAAAAGACTTCCTTGCCATGCTTGTGTGCCCCCCCCGCCCCTTTCCACTCACACTTGGAGCAACGTCAGCTTCCTTTTTTTTTATAACAACAATTTTTTATTTAGGATATAAACATTCATAATCAGCATTAAATTTTCTACATTTATCCCTGTTACATCCATCCCCCCCCCTTTTCCCCTCCCTTATATGCGGCTTCCCACAGTGCTCCGACCTCCTGCACATTTACTTCTAATTTCTCCAACCTCCTGTTTACTCCCTTCTAATTTCTTTTTGTTTCCATTACATTTTTTCTTATAGTTCAATAGGTAACTCTTATTTCATTATCACAATTATTTCTTTACTTATCATAACTCTCAGGAAAACTCTAAAAAGTTCTGCATTCAATAATTATCAAAGCAGAATAAATTGCCTTTTACTTCCCAATGCTTCTCTGAATATTCTTTTAAATCTTTCCAGTCATTAAAAGAACTCTTCTGCTTCCGTGTTATTCAGTTTCCTTGTCCATTTCAACTGCAAACAACAGTTTCTTAATCCAATCTTCAATTTTCGGTACTTCTTCTTGTTTCCAATGTTGAGCATAAGTCAGTCTGGCTGTTGTCACCATATACCACATCAAGGTCCTTTTGGCTGCGTTGACTTCTTCCATTTCCTATCCCAAAAGTAACAGTTCTGGCTCCTTTTCAAAAGTATATTTAACAATCTTTTCCATCTCTAAATGAATTTGGCTCCAAACATTTTTTGCTTTTTCACATGCCCACCACATGTGATAAAACGAACCCTACCCTTTTTTACACTTCCAACATTTGTTTGACATATTAGTGTTCATATTGGCAATCTTTTTCAGCCTCATATACCACCTATACATCATTTTGTAACAATTTTCTTTAAAACTATTACATGTTGATATTTTTAGTGTATTCGTCCATAAATACTCCCAAGTCTCTGTAGTTACTTCTGTATTCATGTTTATCGCCCACTTTATCATTTGTTCCTTAACTGTTTCTTCTTCAGTATACCACTTTAACAACACTTTATACAGCTTTGAAATACATTTTTTCTCCCCTTCAAACCAAGCTACCTCAATCTCATTATTTTTTTCTCTAAAGCCAAAAGTTTTTTTATCTCTTTTAAATAAGTCATTTATCTGTCTATATTCAAACCACCCATATTTAAACGCCGTTTCTTCTTCCATTTTCAAAACAAACAAATTTCCCTCATTTTTTAACATGTCTTTATGTTGTATTCAATCTTCACCTTTATATCTCGAATGTGGTTTTATTACCTCTGCCGGAACAATCCAAAGCGGCCTCTCATCCGAGAAGAACCGCTTATATTTCGACCATACATTAAAAAGCACTCTTCTAATAACATGTTGTTTTAAAAAACCGTCTCCTTTCACTTTTTCATACCATAAATAAGCATGCCAGCCAAATCTGCAATCATGGCCCTCTAGTGCCAACAGTTTCTTGTTCTCTAACGTAATCCATTGCCGCAACCATGTTAAACAAGACGCTTCATGATATAGTCTAAAATTAGGTAGCTGTAAACCTCCTCTCTCTTTCGCATCACAAAGAATCTTCATTTTAATTCTTGGCTTTTTTCCGCCCCAGACAAACTTTGAAATGTCTCTTTGCCACATATCCAATATCTTCACATCTCTTATTAGCTACTTGATGTGGGAAGCCTGGAATCAAACTCTGTGGGGTGTATGGCTGGAAGCCAGCTGGAAGAGTCACAGCAAATCGTGACTTGACCCACGTCCTACCAGACCTTTGAATCCAGGGGAAGGGGGGGGGTGGAGCGTGAATGCCTGAGAACAAGTTGTGTTCATGCCTGTTGCAGGCAGAAGTAGTTGTGACATCTGCAGATGGCCAGTGGTTGACATTCAGCAAGTTTATTTCAAGACAAATTAGCTGAATTTTAAAATTTGCTTTACAGCATTGACAAGTCTCTATTAAGAAATAGCTTGCTTGCTTCATGAAATATATTAGAATCATAGAATGTTAGAGTTGGAAGGGACCTTGCAGGTCATCTAGTCCAACCCCCTGCACTCTGCAGGAGCATAGCCGAAAGACAGCCCTACAACATACCCGAAAGGTGGTCATCCAGCCTCCGCTTGAAAACGTCCAGCGAAGGAGCATCCACCCCCTCCCGAGGCAATCTGTTCCACTGCTCAACCACTCTTACAGTTAGGAAATTTCTCCTGATATTTAGCTGGTAACGACTCCCTTGTGATTCCCACCCATTAGATCTAGTCTTGCAATTCAGAGCAAGAGAGAATAGATCTGCTCCATCTTCTACATGACAGCCCTTCAAATACTTGAAGACCACAATTATGTCCCCTCTAAGCCTTCTCTTTCCCAGGCTAAACATACCCAACTCTTTCAGCCTTTCCTCATAAGACTTGGATTCAAACCCTCTCACCATCCTGGTTGCCCTCTTCTGGACACGCTCCAGCTTGTCAACATTAGGGGTGTGCAAGAAAAAAAAATTCGGCCGGATTCGTTTTTGCCAAATTGGGCCGAATCTAATTTGGCCCCCCGAATGATCCCTGAATGCCACTTTCAGCAATCCAAGTGGATTAGGGGGTCATTCGGGGGGCCCAAATCACTTTTTGGTGGGGGGGGCAAGCCAAGGGAAGGCAGTTTAAACCGCCTCCTCTCCCTTCCAAGGGATGTCTTGCCTGGGCGCCTCGCAGCCACGGGTGCCCAGGCAAGCCAAGGAAGGGAAGGCCCTTTAAACTGCCTTTCCTCTCCTCCAAGGGAGGGCTTGCCCGGGCACCTCACAGCCGCAAGGCACACGGGCAAGCCAAGGAAAGGAAGGCAGTTTAAAATGCCTCCCCTTCCCTCCAGTTTAAAATGCCTCCCCGTGCATTTCCCTGCTTGCCCGCCAAAGCGGGCGAACTGCGGAAGGCTTCCAACCCCCCCATCTGCTCTGACCACCCGCCAAAGCAGGCGAGTCAGGAAAGGCCCAGGAGGGTACGGGGAGGCATTTAAATGCCTCCCCTTGCTGTTGCTGGGGCCGGGGCTGCTTTTCCGGTGAGCCCTTGAAATGCCGCCAAATTTCAGCGGCAGCTTTTGGCGGCGGGCTGAATCAGATTAGAGAATCTGATTTGGCCTGGGGCTGCCCAAAAGAGGGACGAATGGGTGTATTCGGTTCATCCCTAGTCAACATCCTTCCTAAAATGTGGTGCCCAAAACTGGACACAGGACTCCAGGTGAGGCCTGACCATAGCAGCATTGAGCGGAACGACCACCTCCCGTGATCACAATGCTTCTGTTAATGCGGTGGTAGGCAAACTGCGGCTCTAGAGCCACATGCGGCTCTTTGGCCCCTTGAGTGTGGCTCTTCTGCTGTAGGCGCTGACGCCCTATTCCCTCCATTGTTCTCTATGGTGGGAAAACCATAGAGAACAATGGAGGGGATGGGGCAACCTGTTTGGAGGCCTGTAGAATTGGACCCCCTGGTTCAATGTTCCTGAAACATGGTGGGTGTCTTGAGGATAGGCTCCAGCAGCTACCTTGCAATTTTGGAGCCTCTCCCTCAAACCCCCTCTCCTCCAGCCCCCAGATTATACCCTCTGTTTTTACCATTGACTTCAATGGCCCACAGGATATAATGGGGCTGAACTGTGGGAAGCCAATTCAGATCAGAGAA